TTTTCATTTTGTCTGTTTGGTTAATCTATGTACCTTTCCCTCATTACCACGATTATTATTATTACTAATCTTATTTTGGAATGTTCCCAGTGTTATTTCACTTGTCCCCCTTGCCATTCTAAATCATATTTGTTTTTGCAGTGTTAAATTATATGTTATCCTATTTCACATAATGTTTTGTGACTTTTTCATTTGCCTATTAAACCTTTAACTTTACACCCCATTCCAACATCTATAATCTCACCTAGTTTACTAGCTCGCTAGTTTCCTTGCCGGTTCCAAGCCCAGGAAAAGGCAGAGGGGGTTGGGTGTAGGGCTGGCAACCCTACACCACAAAACCTATCAAACTGCTACAGAAACTTCAGCGCAGAAGAAAAATACTGATAATACAAAAAATATTCAAAAAACTTATTCCTCGCTCGAATCGGAGAGGCGAAATGAAACAGCGGGCTGGTGAAAGCCTTCGAGAAGCCAGTCAGCCAGCCGATGTTTCTTCTCTCAATGAAAGCAAAATGAGAATGGAGATGTGAAATGTTCGTACAATGTACGAGGCTGGTTGGGAAGGCCGCCCAAGAAGCCAAATGAATGAGAATATATGGCATAGAGTGTTGGAAATCTACGAGAGCAGAGGGAATGGATGTGAACTGCCAAAATTTTCATCTGGTGAGTCAATAATCAACTCCGTTCTGATAAACTACACGACAACCACAAACACCATGAGGAAGTGAGTGGCTATCATGTTGTTACCAGTGGCAGCCAAAGCCCTAATGCAGTGGGAATCAATCTCCTCGTGCAGGATCATGATGACAAGATTCAACTCAAAAGGCAGGAAGGAAGGAAGGAAGGTTTCAACTATCCAATGCTACAAACAACTAGTAACAAGAGAAGAAGGAAGATTTCTATAGACAACTACGGACAGTAATGAACTACATACCAAATGGTGACATGCAAATCATTATGAGCGATATGAATGCAAGCCATACTGGGAGCAGACAGCACAGGAGGAGAACTCATCATGGGTCGAGAGTCACTCTCTCGGAGAAATGAATGAGAACAGAGAATTATTCGTAGACTTCTTCGCTCTCAGTGATCTGGTGATAGGAGGCAGCGTGTACAAGCACAAGAATGTACACAAGGACAACGACATGGATTTCGCCTGATGGACAAACCACAAACCAGATGGACACGAAGTGGAGGAGAGGAGAAGATGTGGCCTCAGACCATCATCTAGTTCAAGGAACCTTCAAGGTGAAGCTGAAATCCCTCAAAACAACTGAATGCGGGCCACTGTAATTCAAGTTCAATATTCAGACACTGAAGGACAAAACAACAAGGGACACCTTCACTTCAGCCAAAAGAGCAAAGTCGTTGATACTGCGTGGTATCACTGAGGAAATCTGTGAGGAAGAACATTGGAACTAACTCTTTGAAGGCGATATTCAAGGAAATGTGTACAACTGTTCTAGGAAGAAAGAAGAAACACGACAAGGAATAGCTGCCAACGGATACTTATCTGGAAGCTAACAGAAGAGAGGGGAGGACGATAGTGAAAGAGATGACTACTCAATGAAAACATGGAAAAGAGGAGAAGCTGAGTTGAATGTATACTACACTGAATAAGGAGAGAGAAGAGACAATTCTACGACACACTGCCTGCAGGCAACTGAAGCAGAACAGGTAGGACGCAGGCTAGTGAGACCTCAGAACATCATATCAGATAACCAGGTTGATGGCTATCCAGGAAGAGACCAACACAGATGGAACCCATAAAAGATGGTGATAGGAACCTATCTACCAAATAGGGAAGAAAACAAATGAAACAATTAGGTGATCACCTCAAAGGACTCTTGAATCCACTGCAACTCGTCTAGAAAAACCACAAGGCAGATCATGTTCTGATCAAATTGCAACTCTTCATACCATCGTCATCGAACAAATCATAGGATGGCGGTCAAACTTCTCTCTACCTCAACTTCATCGAATTTTAGAAAGCCCTCGACAGACAGCGTCGGCAAGGAAGTAATTTGGAAACTATTTCAACACTGTGGCTTGCAGTGCCCAAATCTCCACCAACTTCATTCAACAGCTGGCTGGCTATATGACAGTGGCACGTGTCAGGTGGTCCACGACGGAAAACTTAGCGGTACGTTCGAAGTGAATGCAGACGTATGACAAGACTGGCTGCCTATTATCACTGATGATATTCCTGATTGTGGTGGACTGGATTATGTGGAAGGAGGACGTCAAATGACACCGCACGCAATGCAGGCCATTATTCGAGTGGAATCTCAGTCAGAAGCGACGAGTGGGTAGTGGGTGAGAGGATGACATGGAAGAGGTTGTGCTAAGAGGAAATGAGAGATCATGGTCATGCATCGGTAATTCATTGCTAGAATGCTCACCAAAAACACAAACACGTGGCTGCCGTCTGATTCCCGAATCCAACTCACTTCTAAACTTCGGCTGGCCGGTGGTAATGAGCATGGAAAAGAAGGAAGGTCAGATCTGTGTGACGCTAGCAGCCCCACTGTTTAAAGAAAAAAATAACACCGCAGCTAGTGAAACTTCAAAGCTCAAGCTTGAAGCCCTTCGTTCCACTTGGAATACATTTAGGCTTGAAATTCATTCATTGACATCATTTGTTCAAATTTTGATTTATTTCTTCATCCCTACTTTTTATCTCTTTCTTGAGACGTAATTTATTTGTTTAAATTATGCATTATTCAGAGTTGATCAACTCTCAAAGCAAATTTACTAAACAATTACAACGTAAAAATGAAAACCTGGGAGTACTGAACAGCTGTTTCCTCCGTCCTAGTTTGGGACTCTTCAACAGTACGCACTCACCGCCAGGGGTCGAACCCACGACCTCCTGGTTACATGGCGAGGTAGCACGTAGACCATTGAGTCACTTGGACCCACCATATCCAATGGCCAGTCCATGAATGCTAACTTCTGCCAATTCATGACATAGCGCGACCACTTCGCAATGTCTCCTTCGATGAGTTACTGCCTCAACTTCAACCTGCTTAACCCTACTGGTCACGGCTTCCCACTAGGACCTTAGGTAACTGCTTGAATAGGGTCAGTCGCTAGTGAGCATCAGATGAATTTTCAAGTATTGGTTTTTCAAGGGGGGTTGAAGTTGAGGCAGTAACTCATCGAAGGAGATATTACGAAGTGGTCGCGCTATGTCATGAATTGGCAGAAGTTAGAATTCATGGGCTAGCCATTGGATTCGGTCCCAATGGCTTAATGGTCTACGAGCTACCTCGCGTTGTAACCAGAAGGTCGTGGGTTCGAACCCTGGCGATGGGGGCGTATCGATGAAGAGTCTCAAACTAGGACGAAAGAGCTATCCAGTACTCCCAGGTTTTCCAATGGTTCTCAAACTGATGTCAGCTCATGATGAAATCCTGAAACCAACCAAACTAAATCCCTACAAAAATCAATACTTGAAGAAATGAAAAGCCAGAAGAAAATGAAATAACAAAAAATAAATGATGATTAATACAATCCGAATAATTCTGTCGAAGAGGCTGTGGCTTACACAGCGAAACGTACAGAAAAATCTTGCTTTGGTTTTTTCTTAAACACGCTGGGATTATTTTCAATAGTTTATAAAAATAAATCGATATTTATCATAAATATTTTTATAAGTGATTACCTATAAAGTATAATACCTATAAATCTATCTACAAGCTTCCCTTCGAATATTTGTAATACCTAAGAATTCCTTTCAACAGATCCCACCTACTTATGCTGACTAGTAGCATATTTTGCAAACATAAATCTTGATGAATAGAATGTGAAAACTTCCATAAGGTATTTCTGCGAAAGTTTCCTTTTTCAACTAAGTAGTTTCATTAAGTAAAGCTGTATCAAGCTATACATTTCCATATGTGTGTACCCATACCCAGTCCTTATTGTTTATGCTAGCAGAATTCTACCAGATAAGTTACTCGCCATTGCGAAGCACTTTCTGTACTTGTTAGCCCTCATCAGCAAGGTGTATCTTCAATCTTAAAGGGATTGATGCTTCCTCCTAATACTCATTCGTTTAGATATATTGAAAACTGATAACTAACAGGGTAGATTCTGTCACTTGTTAAAGTGTTGAACCCAGAAACATAGGGAAGGGGTTAGGTGTACGAGTAGCAACTCCACCCCCCCAAAAAACAACTGGGTTGCCACGGAAATTTCAAAGAATAGGAAAAAAAGAATAAACTTATTCTTTGCTGGAGTCAGGGTGGACGAATGACGCCTACCCTTGATAGCCTTCGGAAAGTCATTTGATGAAAGCAAAAGTAATCTTAAGGACATGAAATGTCTACATCGTGTTTGAGGCTGGCAAGGATGCTTAGATTACAAAACGAGAGGATATGGTATAGAAGTAGTAGGGATCTGTGAGAGCAGGTGGAATGGAATTGAACTCTCCAAATTGTTAATTAGAGAGTCAGTAATTTATTCCGGTTACCCAGACGACAACAACGAGCACATTGAGGGAATGGCCATCATCGATTATATTCTAGATTTAATACGAAGCTGGTTAGTGAAATGCTGTGAACAAGGTATCATAGTCAACATGCCAATCAAAAGACAAGCATAACGACTGCATTCATAAATTCCTTTTCAAGGATTTCTTGATGTGTGACTATGCTACAATAGGCTGCAAGAAGTAACGTCAAGTTTTCACTGAAATTTTTACACAGAATTGGCCACATAATAAATGAAGCAAACTGATTGGTGCATTTAATTTGATCATAGTGAGGAAAACATTCAAATTTATGATCAAATTATCTTTATGTGGACAAATAACTAAGAACTATCTAAACAAGTAAAATAAACAAAATAATCTATTAAATTTATAAATAACTATTTAGGACATTATAATTACAAAGTAAATTTTAGTGATATAACGCATATTAAAGAGAAAAATTTTGGAACTAGTTCAGATGCATACATATATATATTTGAGTTTTACGCGGCATTTTGACTAGTTATCATATTCCCTGTCTTGTGGACGCCTGAAATCATGCCATCATCCTGGGTGTTAAAGGAAACTTCAGCCAAACCTGAAGATTTGGCAAATATTGCCAGATTAGCTGAACAAGCGGAACGTTATGATGATATGGCAGCTGCCATGAAGCTCTATACCGAAAAGCAAGAGCAGCTGGGAAATGAGGAGAGGAATTTACTCTCTGTGGCATACAAAAATGTTGTGGGAGCTAGACGATCAGCGTGGAGAGTTATCTCAGGAAGTGAGGCCAAAGCAGCCAACCATCCTAAGAGAAAGCAAATTGCTGAGGAATGTCGCATTAAAATGGAAGAAGAACTGAATGAAATATGCAATGAAGTTCTAGTAAGTCGAATTTTTGTTTCCTATAACGTGGATAGACATTAATAGAGAAATATTTGATGCCAAATGCAACTAACAGTGAGAGCAAAGTATTTTATAAAAAGATGGAAGGTGATTACTACCGATATCTTGCTGAAGTTGCAACTGGTGAAGCTAAGGACAAAGTTGTCGAGAAATCCCTAGCTGCATATGAGATGGCGACTGGAATTGCCCAGGATAAGCTTGCTACTACTCATCCTATTCGCCTTGGCTTGGCTCTTAACTTCTCAGTGTTTTATTATGAAATCAAAAATGATCCCACTCAAGCCTGCAACCTTGCACGAGAAGCTTTCGACGCAGCTATTGCCGAACTTGACCAACTACAAGATGATTCCTACAAAGACAGCACACTTATAATGCAGCTTCTGAGGGACAATCTGACGGTAAGAATCGTTTTTCCCCTATCTAATCTCTTAAATAGTTATGGGCCACTGACCAACCAGAAGCGGACGACGTTGATGCCGGTGACAACTGATCTCTGTCATGTAACATTTACCATAGCCCTTATATTATACAAGATCTATATTGACATTCCCTTTGTCCTTTTGAATGAGTCCGTTTGCAGTATGATGTTGGAACTTTTGGTTAATGTCTAGAAGTTAGGCAGGCTAGTTTGTGTACAGTGAAGGTTTAGCTAATAAGACCATGGATCGCTTAAGTTTCCAATTTGCCAATGAAAGCCTAACTAGCATCTTCTATACTGAGAAATATGTGTTATAGCGTTGCCAGTCTGGCGTGGTTGAGTTTCTAGGGTTCAGCAATCTTTTTTTGTTCATTACATAATTTAGCAGAAGTAACTTTCTATGAGTCTGAACTAATAGTAAGTTATGCCTAAGAAAATTCCTTAGTCGGGCTGATCGAAAACATCCTATTTGTTGTTCCTTGCTAATGTAAGTTGTCTAATTTGACTTCATGCAATCGGGTTCATTGTGAAACTTTTCGATAACAGGCGATTAGTGGATTATTTTGGGTAGCTTGATGTATACCGTTTTTTGTAGTACCGAGACCCCTGCTGTATGTGTCGGTGTCGTTCGGCTTACATTTTTATGCTCGGGACCTGTTGACATGAGTTTCCTGACGTTAATCACCTGGCCTAAAATGCAAGTACGTAACGACTGTCGTCGATGCTGTTCCTACAGCTGGTCGAGTATGACCAGGCTTCGACTGGATATCTTTCATTGCACTAGTGTCTGCTGATACGTTGACACTACCAATGAGAAGAACAACGTCTGGAGAAGAATCGTATCGGCTCCTATGTCCACTCAGTCTTACACATTTATACACATTGTCCAGTTTATAATAGTAGTCCAGGGAAATGTTTTGAACCAAGTGGCGTTCTTTCATCAACCTTCAGTAAAGACCAATGTCCGGTAGCTAATCTGTGTCCACCAGGCTATTCAGTGTTGGTCCTATTGTTTCAGATTAATGCTGGTCAGAATCCGGGATGTAGAATATTTGCAGTTGTCTGTTCATTGACTTGCTTGTCTTTATCATTCGCCCATGGGGATTGCCTGTTGATACATCTGTCTGGGTGTTTCTCGCTCGGTGCTAAATCCCACAGCTCTCGGCAAAACAACCTTCACTTTGTACGAATCACACGTAACCGATGCATAGGTGGGGGGTTTCGGAAGTATATCAACAGGCGCCGCGACCTCACCCCTGGATCTGCCGGGCGCGACTGCACACAAGACCAACCGTTGGGGTCCAATTAAATGATAGGTCTCTTTAGTAAGGGTATTGAGCGTCCTATCATAGGTCAGTGAAGTTAAGCAGAACAGGCCTCAGCGTTGTGTACCTTTTGTCAGTGATTTAGCGCAATGTCGTCTAGTTTTGTTTTCTCAGGTGTGTTATCTCCCAGGTTTCTAGTGCGATTTGCCATCTTACGGGGATTATAAAGATGGGCGAAGTTTTTGTTTTAAGCACTTTCACAGCTTGAGCGTCAAAAATTGAATTACTATCCACCTCACAGAGTTGTGGGGTAGTGTTATGGTCAACTCCACTAGTATTGACATCGTTCCAACTAGTCAGTGTACAGCGTAACTCTGTCGTGACACCATATGGTTCATTAGTATTTGTCATTTCAACTGACTGTCTGATAAAGGTAGTATGTCCTCGGCATCGGTCATTGTTTACCAACACAAATCGACTCATTCCCGGTCGTAAAGGAGACATACAAGTAGTTTAATGTCTATCTCCCAGTGCGAGCTGAATTGAGGAAGGAGTACAGTCACTCATTTTTTCAGAAGAGATTCTTTATATTCCAGGCTTCGGAGCTGCACGTCAGTTGGTATAAGAAGGTTGAAGTAGGGGGTGGAGGGGACCTGTGATATGATATCGATGTGATCTGCAAATCAGTATCGGAATTCGAACCAGTGTAAACTTGCTGGGACTTGAAAGTATTATGGAAACTGAGACTACATGGGAATCCGACTATGTGTAGTCTGCATATTTACACGTTGTGGATTAGGTTAAGCCATGCCATCAAGCATCTTAAGAACCCCAACCATATAACCTAAGCGTTTCTGATTGACAGTTAGAAGCATCATCGATTGCCACAGTTTTAGTCAGAGATTCAAGGTGATGTTGTCTACTATGCAGATTTCATAGTAGTAGCTAGAACTCAGCTGTGTGTTAGAGGGCTGTGAATCACAGTGTGGGGGTCGATAACACTATTCGGTTTCTCAGGCTAAAGTAGTTGGAGGAGAGTTCCAACTTGATCTCGTTGGCTAGAGGTCAGTTGCTTAAGCCAGTGAGTCACATGTCTTGTGGACTGAAACTACCACTGGTATAACGTCATTTTCAAGAGTGAAGTAATTAAAGGAGTCACTGCGGCTCACTGTTAGTAAGCATAGCTCAGTTATCGTGTAGCAAGTTTTAAATATACGTGCGATGGAAAAGTCTGAGTGCACTATCTTGTAAAACATGGGAGTCTATGTAGCAATGAGACGTCTTGTGAATTGATCTTTGTCATAAGGCTTTTCTAATTACCTAACCAAACTAATGAGTTACGAACTTAGCATCCCTTTACCTTAATTTAGGGAATTAAAGGAAGCATGTAATTGTTGTATGCTTGTCATTTTAATCCTGAGGCGTATCTGACGAAGTCACATGACCTCTGGGACTTCACGCACAAAGTGATGCACCAACAGATGCTAACCAAGCATAAAGACCCTTCATCCTTTTCACTACAGTTACAGGTCTACCAAACAGCAAAAGTTATGAAAACCGTTAGGTTAAAATTTATGGCACATATGCAAATCCATGGTGACATCACTTATTGGAAGACGGTATGTACTGCCTTAAACGACGTTGGGTCTCAGAATTACTTACATGGTGACTTTCCGATGTAATCTATTCTGTAGGGACACTACTGGTCGAATACAATGTCTGCATATCTTCAGTTTAGAGAGGTCATGTTTCATAGGAGAAGAGCAAGAGTGCATCCACTGAAGCGTTGCAAATCCCACGTTACATGGCCCTAACTAATAGCTGCTATCTTGATGTGGTTGTCGGGCTTGTATATCGCAATGACCCAATGAGATCCACTGGCTGGAACTAATGTTCCTGCAGGTCATACCGTGCCAGAAAGGTCGTTCGATTGAAGGTAGTTACCATCATATAATGCGTCGGTGGCATAGCGGTTAGGACGCTCGCCGACCATGTACATGGTCCGGGGTTCGATCCCCGGCCGACGCACTCCTTTACCTCACTGAGCCAGAAATAATGCTGGTAAAGAGGAAAGGTTGGGCATGAGGCTAGCAACCCCATCCTGTAAAATAAACACTGCTACAGAAACTTCAAGCCACTAGCTTGAAGCCCTATGTTCCACTGGGGAACGTGAAGGATAAAAAAAACCCATCATAGTGTGAATTTTTTTACACTATGTTGGGAAGCTGTGACCGAAATGCCTCTAGGGAATAGGGATGTTAAAGCAGTATTTTGATAACCTGCATGCCAACTATATTGCCTCTCATTTAAAAGGGGGCCTAGAAGTGGTCGAACTCCTACTGTTATAACTATATATAACAGGCTCGTCTCATCTCCTACGTTGACTAGTAGTTACGGAAGCCGGAAAAACACTACTGAAGGTCTCTTAAAACCACGTCGCCAACTTCATGTTGGAGCATTCAACGTCAAGACCCTTTGCCAAGTCGGACAACAGACATCACTAGCCAGAACTCTGGTATCTTAAGCCATGGATGTATGTTGTATTTCGGGGACACACAGAGAAGACTCAAGTGTGTTTATTATCTTAACCCCACTTGGACAACATGGTGAATCTGTAAAATCTACCTTATGGATGTCGGAAGATTCTTTGGCTAGTTCGTGAGGACTCGCAAGAGTATGGGTAACATTGAGTACAAAGGTAGGAAAATCCCTACTTCACTAGATCCCAGTGGATAGTCACATGTGTAATGTCTTGCTGAACGAACCCGTTAGAAGAAGAAAGAACTGCGTTATCCGTCAATCTCTCTTCATAATCGCCATCTACGCCCAAACGATTGCAGTTCGGACAAAATAAAGCATGACTGACTGCTTTCCACGCAGAACTTTGCAGCAGTTCGAGTTGCCACACTCCATACAGCACACAAAGCAAGAGGAGAGAGTAAAGGGAGATTCTAAACAGAGACAATAAGCAGAGATATGAAGCGAATAAGAATAGTAATGTCGAAGAACGATAGAATTTTGTTGAATATTATAAATCGCAAGGAGTGGATGCATCTGCTCCATCGAGAACGAGGATTTTGAGTCATATTAGCAATTGTCTCCAGCCATTGGTTTTCACCATCCCGTGGACTCCCACCAGGAAGTCTATGCCTCCCCACGTGACTTAAACTAACTGTTGTGGATTTCATTGACTGATGTCATGGTTTGGTTAGACCACCACTGGCTCTTTTCAAATGTGATCTTATGTCAGCTAACATTGTCCGTCGACGAAGGCGATGGCTAGGCCTGCGTAAAACATTTCCTAACCATCTTAATAGACTTACCTTCATATCCTCGTCGATTGATTTCCTCTCCTTACTTAGCACTCGACCGATGCCTAACCTCAATATTGCTCACCTTATTATCCTACTTGACACGGGAGATGCAGGCACCCTGATCAAAGATAGCTAGCCTTATCGTATCTTCCACTTTCAATGGCCATGTCTCACAGCCATAAAGGAGGACAGAGCGGACTGCTGAGCAGGACACACCCCCTTTAGTCGACAGCCAGCTGGACGTCACATCTACTAAGCCCGAGATGTAATTTGGCAAATGCCGAAAGAGCCTTCTGTATCCGTGCTGAGATTTGGTCACCAATCAATCCTTTGGCGTTGGCTAATGCAACTCCCCAAATAAGTGAAGTGGTCAACAGGATCTACGACGTCACTCCCATTCTTTAAGCTAGGAGTCAATGTAGTCTAGCCCTGTAGCATCATCTTGCATTTGAGAGGAGCGAATTGCATGCCGAACATTCGAAGATTGCTGCTCAAGGTGTTCAGAAGACTTCATTTTGTGAGCGTCTTCATCTAGGATGGAGGACTATGTCAT